GCCAAGACTCTGCATCCCGATCTTGGAGTGCCTCATTGTATGTCCATGGGTCAGATTCAAGAACGTTTGGGACGGCTTCAGAAGACTCTCCCAGACCCATGAACCGTTCGGGTTGCCGGACAACCCTCCCACTACGACGAGGTACTACCTGCTCAGGTGCATCATCAGCGATACGTGTTGCAGTACTTTGTGGTGTAACATCTAGCGCACTCGGTATTGAAGTACTCACTCCCTTTAACTCCTCAAGAACATGTCTACTATTGGACTTATGATCTAAGACATAGTCTTCTTCCAAGAACCTAGCATTCGTGCTAACGATTACTTTCTGGTCCTCGGGACTATAAAATAGACCACCTTTCGTTTCCTTAGGATATCCCACCAACAGCCTTACTTCTGATCTCAGTTCCAACTTATCAGTATCGGTTCTCAGCACATGTGCTGGACTACCCCAAACCTTGAGATTCCTTAGACTAGGCTTTTGCCAAGACCACAACTCCAATGGTGTAGACGGTACTGATTTAGAAGGTACTCTATTCAGAATGTATACCGCTGTTTCTAGGGCATATCCCCAAAACGAATCTGGTAAACTACTATAACTCATCATTGCCCTAACCATTTCCATAAGAGTCCTGTTTCTCCGTTCTGCTACGCCATTCTGCTGAGGCGTGCCAGGCGCAGTCAGTTGGGACGTAATCCCATTATCCGTCAAGTAGCTATTAAACTCATTCGAGAGATATTCGCCGCTACGATCGGATCGTAAGGACTTGATACTTTTTCTTAACTGCTTCTCCACAACTGCCTTATACTCTAAGAACTTCTCAAAGCATTCAGACTTGCGGTGCAGAAGGAAAATTTACCCATATCTCGAGTAATCATCGATAAACGTAACGAAGTACTCAAAACCACCTCTCGCATGAATACTCATAAGACCACATAGATCAGAATAAACTAGCCCTAACACATCTTCGGCTCTATGCCCCTTTGAACTGAAAACCCTCTTAGTCATTTTACCTTCCAGGCAAGACTCACAAGTTGGAAAAGCCTCAACTTCTAACAACCCCAAGGGCCTGTCTGCTACCAACCTTTGAATCCTCCTAAGGTTAATATGACCAAGTCTTAGATGCCAAAGATATGTTTCGTTCATTTTAGAAGGTTCCTTTCTATTATTCAGATTAGATGATGAATTAAGTAATTGTTTCTGTTGCAGTGGAGATGACTTAGATTCTAGAATGTATAGATTGTCAACTAATGAACCAGAGCATATGAACTTTTTGCCAAAACGAATAACAACTTTATTATCAAACGTAGCGGAAAAACCGTTCATAAAAAACATAGAAACTGAAATCAAATTCTTTCTAAAACTGGGAACATAAAGAAAATCTTTCAAAACTAGAAACCTATCTAAGCCAAAATCTAAATAGACGTCTCCCACTGCAACTGCTG